TCTGTAGTTTGGAGCCCATCCATGTGGGCAGTGAGGCAGTACTGCACCCATTTCACAGATGTGGCAGTGGAGGCTTAGAGGGATGTCTCCTCTCTCCTTGGGCAGGAACCAAAACATTCCCGAGGGAGGCAGAGGCCATCAGACCAGACTCTGACAGCCACTCACCTTGTCTGAAGGCGACGGCAGCTTTTCCACCTCCCTGGCCACCTGCTTCGGGTCGGTAGCTGCGATGGGGACAGAAGCTGGTCAGGGAATGCGAGGGAAGTGGGCTGGCATCAGCTGCTCTGGTGCCCATTGCGCAATTGGCGGGCACAGCCCAAAAGGTCAGGAATGTCCCAGCCACTCCGCCAGGGACAGCAGGAGGTGACATCTATGGCCACGGGCTTGGCTCCTTTCGACCCCCCAGGACCTCAGTCCCCTGGAACTGAGGATCTCCCTGGTGTTGTCTCCACCTGAGTCCTGGGTGCTGGACGCCCACCCAGGGAGATTGCAGGGAGAGGAGTCAGGGCCCCGCCCCACCTCTGCTACAGCTGGCAGTTGCCTGTCAGGCCTGGGTATGTGGAGCAGAAGTCAGCTGCCAAGGGCTCGGCCCAGAATGAGGCCCAGCCCGGGCAGCCACCCAAACCTGGGTCGTCTCCCCCTCCCCCACGCCTGCACCAGCCCCCCAATGTGTCCCGAGTACTCTGGCTGAGTAACGAGGGTGGGGAGACCCCCAGGCTCTGCCATCCCAGGGAAGCCACTGTCCCTCTTGGGGAACCAGGATTGCCATCCCCAACAAGGTCTGCCTGCAGAACACCCAGGCCCTGGTCCACAGGCATCAGAAATGGGTGATGGGAGGTGGGGTGGGGGTGGAAAGTGTGGGTGGTACTGAAGGGAGCTAGGCTGTGTTCACACCTCCACTTTTGCTGATTATGCACCTTGGGCCACTCACTTGCCATATTTATGCCTCAGTTTCCTCGTCTGGTGCTGAATGAGTGTTGCCAGTCATGCAGTGTCTAGATGATGCAGGCACATAGGAAATGTCCCAAGGTGGCCAGAAGTCCCTGCTAGGGGATTTCCTATTCCTGGAGTCTCCCCAGACCCCCCACCCTATCGAGCTGTGTACTCACCCTGGGCCTGGGGATGGGCGGCCTCGGGGGAAGGAGTCCCTGTGGAATCAGCTACTGGCTGGGCCTCTCCTGCTGAGCTGTGGGTGTTGGCCACCAGGTTCCGGGCAGAACTGAAGCCAGGCAGGAACCCCAAGAAGTTGCTCAGGGTCTATGTGGGGAGGGGACAGCATGAGCAGGCTGGGCCGAGATGGGATGGGGTGGGGGAAAGCGTCAGACAACCCCGGGCTTCCACACCTCCCAGGCTCTTGTTTTTGGGTGACCTTGAGTTTCAAGCCTCAGTTTCCTAGTCTGGACAATGGGCAGATGCAGCCGGTCTCCCATGGAAGGAGGAAAAGGTCCTCCTTTGAGTCTCCAAGGCCTTCTTCCACAGCCCCCATTTCACAAATGGGGAAACTGAGGCTGAGAGAGGTGCTGTGGCTAGCCGAGGGTCACAAAGTAGGAAAGGAGCTGAAGTCTGCCCCCACCCCCAGCTTGGGACAGGAGGAAAGAGTTAGCACCTTGGCTCTCAGAGCCCTCCCACCCCACTCAGAAAACTCCCAGATCTGAGGGCTGTGGCGGTCACCTTTGTAAGGTTCTGGGGGTCTCCAGGCCATAGCAGGGATCTCCCCCTCCCATACCTCTCCTCACCTTGCCCTTGGGTTTGTGGGGCTTCCGGCCTCCTTCCTCTTGAGCAGACATGTTAATACTCTAAGCAGCTGGGAGGGGGCAGAGATGGTTCATAAATGGGGTTCCCATGCCTCCTGCCCCACACCCATAGCCCCCAGAGTTTCCCTGACACCCACCTGGAGACCTTGCCTCACCCTGGCATTGCTCACCTGGACTGCGAGAGGGTCCTTTGGAGTGACTGGCGGCGCAGCTGGCAGCTGGCTCTGCTTTCAGCTCCCAGGCCTTATAGGGTCTGGGGCAGGCGCAGGCCTGGCCTGCAGAGGCAGGCAGCCAGCCTGCTGGGGGAGGGCCCTGGAGGGTCACGTGCCTGCCTGCCCGGCCCAGCTTGCATGGGCCCCGGGCCCAGCACCTTTCCCCTGCTCTCAGTACTGGGCCACCTCTGCCCACAGCACCCGCCCCACCAAGCTGAGTGATTCCCAGGCCATCCTATGTTCCTGAGACACAGCCTATATGCCCTCTTGGTCTATTCTTTCCATCCATGAGATGGACATGGTTCAAATCTCAGTTCTGGGATGCCTTGGCTGCAGTTTCCCCTTCGGACTCCTCACTGGCCCACAATGTTGTGCCCTTCATTTCCCCTGGCTCTTACCTCTTTGATCAGTCCAGCCAGAGGGGCCTCCTTGTGATTTCTCCAAATCTTTGGGCATGGTCCTGCCTCAGGGCCTTTGCATGGGCTATGTCTTCTGCCTATAGCACTTTCCCTCAAACATCCACATAGCTGCCTCCCTCCCCGTGTTCCCTGCAATAGAACAATACCTGGTACACAGTTGGCACTTAATAAATGTTTGATTAAATGGGCCAACTCATAGGGTGGTTGTGAGTAGGAAATGAGGTCACACATGTAACCTGTTTATCCCTGTGCCTGGTACCCAGCAGGTGCTCAGCAGACATTAGCTTAGCATGGTCCAGGCAGAGAGGAACAGCGTCTGTCCTTGGCAGGGATGGGACATGTCACTCTCTGGAAGGGACTTCCCTTGAGAAAGGAGACAAAACAGACCAAAACAGCTCCAACAGAGCCTGGAACATAGGATGGCTTGTGACTCACTCAGCTTGGTGGGGGCGGGTGCTGTGGGCAGAGGTGGCCCAGTACTGAGAGCAGGGGAAAGGTGCTGGGCCCGGGGCCCATGAGAAGCAGGCCTGGTAGGCTTGGGCCAATCCAAGGTGGCTTCCTGGAGGAGGTATTTTGTACCTAAGGCCACAGAGCCAGGAAGTGGCAGAGACAGGATTTAGACCCAGACCCTGAGCCTGTGTGTAGAGCGGGCTGTCTGTGGATGGGTGCCCAGATGAGCAGAGGAGTGACTGCCATGCCCTTCCTGGACTGCCCCTGAAACAGGGATCACAGTCATGCTGATGGGGGTTGGGAAAGATCCAGCTGGTGGCTCTGGGCTCTGAGCTGGGAGAAGGGAGGGTCCTGCTGTTGGGCCTGATGACCCTCAGGCTGTCTCCTTGGAGTCAAACAGTCAAGAAACAAAAAGGGGGATTCCCCAGCCTCTCTCCTTAGCCAACACTTCCTAAAGGTGACATTGCAGGATTGGGGAGCTGGATCCTGGGTGTGTCCCTCCCCCCAGCAAAAGTAATAAAATGGCCTGGCCAGTGTGGTTCTGGTTGAGCATCGACCTATGAACCAGGAGGTCACGGTTCGATTCTCAGTCATGACACATGCCTGGTTTGTGGGCTTGATCCCCAGTGTGGGGCATGCAGGAGACAGCCAATCAATGATTCCCTCTTACCGATGTTTCTATCGCTCTCTCTCCTCCCTTCCTCTCTGAAATCAATACCAACTCAGGTTTTGTCCCCTTTCTGGCCACAGCTCTCCAGGGCTCCCACCTCCCTTGGCCCAAGTTCTCCCTGTGGCCCATAGGCCCTGGACGACTTGCCCCTGTCCTCTCTCCCTGCCTTCATGTACTCCCTTTCCCCCCCACACCCTGCTCCAGCCACACAGGCCTCCTTGCTGTTTCTCCAACAGGCCAGGCAAGGTCCTGCCCCGGGGCCTTGGCGCAAGCTGTGCCTTCTACCTGGAATGTTCTCCAGTCTTTGCTCATATGTCACCTCCTCAGAGAGGCCTTTCTGGAACCCCTCTTTTATTTAAAAATATACATCTCTCCTCAAATGCCCACATACTACCCATTGTCCTCCCCTTTTATTTTTCTTATCCTACTAACACTAAAAATAGTAATTTACTTATTTTTCTTGTACATTGCCTGTTCCATACTGTATTGTCAGGTCATAGAGGGGCAGGAATTTTATCCATTTTGTCACTGCCATGTCCCCAAGGTGGAGAACTGCCCAGCACACAGCACGTGCTTTATAAATACAGGTTGTTCCAAAAAAATGTTTACACACTTTTAACAGCTGATAGCTCAATTGATGTTTCTTTTCAGATTTAACCCATTGGAATTAGTAATTATTCAAAGTGTGTATACATTTTGGGGGATACCCTGTACTTGTTGAATGAATGAGTGAATAATAGCTTCTGTGGGTGAGGTGTTTACTGGGATTGGGCATGACTTACCCATTTCTCAGAGGAGAAACATGTTTAGAGGAAAAATAAGTTGTCTAACCACCTGCCGGCAAGGCTGGGACTCAGCCCCAGGGCGACAGGGAGCCAGGCGGTTCCGAGCAGGGGCAGGGAAGTGAATCCGACCAGTGGGAAGTGGTCAGGGCTCCCAGAGCTGCCCCTGGGCTGGGTCCCAGGGAAGCCAGGGGCCATCCTGACCTCACCGAATCATGCTATGGTTTCCTAACACCCTGCCTGGCCACTGGGGAGTCTGAGGGGCAGCCAAGAATGTGGTCAGAAGATGGGAGGGCCCCCATGAGACTGGCCCATGGCCCTTGCCCTGTCTCTGTCTCCCCAGTCCTGATCAGTGGAGAAACCACAGCAAGATCAGCAACGGTGGGTGCAGGGAGGTGGGCATAGGAGGACTGACCCCTCTAACTTCTTTCTCCTCAAGATCCTGCTCCCTGCAGTTCCAAGACATTCATTTATACTAGTGTGAACTTTCACTCCAGGAAGCTACATCTGAGTGCAATGCTTAAGCCAGGTGGGCTGGACACTAAAGGTGGAAGTACAGACAGAATGGCAAGCGGGAGGGAGGGGTTGGGGGGAAAGTAGGCATTACTCCTTTCAAATCTCGAACCCTGGCTTGTGTCATACATCACACCTCTGAGGCCCCCCGGGCACCCTGTAACTGAGACTCATTCCAGCCAGAACAGAGGCCATGGGCCTTTGAACAACATGAAGCACCTTTATTCTGGAGAGCATACCCCAAACAGCAAAGCAAGTGGGTCCGGCTGGCCCAGTTGGTGCAGCCCGGCATCTTTGGGGACCCCTCAGACCAGGATGTACAAGCTGGGGGAGCAGGTGGATGATTGTTTTTCAAAGCCCCAAATAGAAGCCACTGGCAAAATGTGTTTCTCTGAGGAGCTTTGATCAGCTTCTTGGGGTGAGGAACAGGTAACTACAGACAGATGAATCCAGCTGGAGACTAGTCAGACCTGACTTAGGTTCATGTCCTCATATGTCCAAGGGAAAGATTGGGAAGGGTCTGATGTCAGAGTAGCTGGTCCAGAGTCAGAATTCCATGGGAACCCCCAACTCCGTACCTGGGCCAGGGTAAAGGCATTGGCTGTTGTGCTTCTGTGTGGCCACTAGAGGGCAGCAGGCTATGGAAGTGTAGGGCAGCCTCCTGCTGCCACTGGCAGAGGCTCCAGGGGATCAGAAGTCCAGCTCTGGCATCAAGGTGTGTTTGGGGCGACTGGGGGGCTCAGGCTCCTCTGGAATGTCCTCCGGGAGACCTAGCCCATTCCGGTGCTGGGCCTGCCAGGCTCTCTGCTGGGCCGGCCAGTCCAGATGCGCCCAGCGGGGGTCAGGGCCCCCCACGATCTCATCCACCAGGTTCTCCAGGCCAGGTGGGGGCTCCGACCGCTCTATGAGGATGGGCGAAAAGGGCCCCACGAGCCAGGGCAGCGGCATGGTCTGCACCACCAATTCTAGCAGCTCGTCCACGCAGGCATGGGCCCGAGCCACTCTGCCCCGGCCCTCGGCCAACGCCGAGGCTGACACATCCCTGAAGCAACGCGCATCAGCGAAGGCCGCCTGCAGGGTGTCCACACTGCGCCGCACCTCGGCCACCTTCTCCTGGGCATCCCGGGGCAGGCCCCGCACGCTGGTTTCCAGTGCGTCCACTGAGCTCTGTAGCTCCCGCATCAGACTTCGGGACAATACCAGTGTTTCCAGCTCCACCTGTGGGGAGGGGAGGCAAGGGGGGCCTCAGTGTTCCAGATGGACACATGCTGAGACGGCTGTCCTGCCTCAGTTTACTCATGGACACACCGCAACTGTCACCCTGCCTCAGTCTCCCCATAGGTACACACTGGGACCGAGCCCTACCTCCCTTTTCCCATGGACACAATGGTATTGCCACCCTGTCTCAATCTCCCCATGGACACAATGGGACTATCTCCCTGCCTCTTTTCACCCATGGACACAACCAGACAGCCCTGCCTCCCAAAAGCAGGAATCGGGAAGGTTCCCTCAAAGACCCACGAAGAGACTTTCCCTGCCTCAGTTTCTCTAATGGATACCCAACAGGACTGCATCACCCTGCCTCAGTTTCCTCCCTGCACACAATAGACCAAGCCCTGCCTTAGTTTCTCCTGTGGGCACCCAATAGTACTGTCAACTTACCTCAGTTTCCCCATGGGCACTCCAACCAGCTACCTCAGCAGTTGGTTATTCATAGCTCAGTCATGGCCCCTGGCAACCCCGGGTGGATCCAGAACCACTCCCATCCTACCGTCCTACCTGACTACGGCGGCGGCCGTTCTCCATGGCGCTCAGACTCCAGTCCCCCCACAGCTCGTGTACTTTCCCAGGGCGGGCTGGGGCGGTGGGGGTCATCCCACACTGCACGAGGTCAATCTGTGGGAACCGGAAAAGTGTTCATCAGAGGTGGAGGACTTGGGGGGTCGGGGGAGCCGGGACGGATCCTAGCTTGGATCCGGCCTCAATAAGCATTTCAGGAACACTTGCTGTGTGCAGCCTTCTGCACCTGCTGACCCAGCCTGGGGCCTGTTCATTGAATCCTCTGCCTCTGGCTGACCCTGTGACCTGTGGTCCTGAAGCTCAGACTCACCGCCAGGCATTTGCTCATGCTGGTCCCTCAGCCACGTACACTCTTCCCTCCGCCTCATCTCCCCCGCTGGTTCATTCCAGTTCAAGTCTCAATGTGGACACCACCCCCTCCAGGAAGCCCTCCCTCCTCCCCTTCTGGCTGCGTGATCCATCCTCTGGGTCCCAGAGCACCTGCCGTTCCCCATTTTGACCCTGATCCCCTGACTGGCCTGTGAGTGTCCTGAAGGAGCACTGTGTCTTCAGTACCCAGGATAGGGCATGTGTTAAAAGATGAATAGAAATAAATTGTGGCCCATCCATATGGTGGAATATTATTGAGCCATAAAGAAGGAGGTTCTGATACATGCTACAAAATGGATGAACCTTCAGGACATCGTGCTCAGGTGTTCACAGGTGCCCTCTGTTGGCTGCTGTGGGAGGACAGACGGGTCCAGGAGGAGAACTGGGTGACGGTGTGCAAGCATGAGAGCTGGAAGCAGGTGGATGGAGGAAGCAGAGGGAGGAAATGTGGGCACATTCAGGATAGACTTTGAGGGCAGAGCTGACAGTATGGCTGATATGTCGGATGAGGGAGGGTTTGAGAACGGAGCTGCTGGCGATTGAGATGAGAGGGATGCGGGACAGGCAGGCTGCGGCATCTGCACTTAGCCCAGTAAGCAGGGGCTGCCATGTTCCTTTGGAGCAGGGAGGGATGGACGGTGAGACAAGAAGCTGGGTGTGCACTGGAACCTAAAGGGTGCAGAGGATTGGAATTGGTGGCAGGAGAGCGAGGGAAGAAGTACCTTCTCCCTGTTCGGACCTACCTTAACTGCCTATAAATTCCAGCTCCTACTTCTCCACAAAACCCCTTCTTTACTCCCCAGGCTGAGTCTCAACACCCCGTAAGCTCCTCCAGCCCCAGGCACCCTCTTCCCCAGTCCTGAACATGCACAGCTAGAGGCAGCTGAGACCAGTTCTGCCTCCCCCTTCAGTCTAGCACGGGACCAGGTACTCGGCTGGTGTTCAATCCATGCTTACTGGCCAGCATTACAGGGCGGTGGCAGGCAGAGGGCTCTCACCAGCTCCAGTGTCTCCTGCAGCTGGGCCAGTGTGTCCTGGGCATGATGTTTCTTCTGCCTCAGTTTCCCCAGAGAGTGCTCATATGCCAGGTGGCGGAGTCGTGTTGACAGGGAGCCCAGGCGCACAAAGTAGCCCTGATGTCTCCTCTGCTGTTCCACTGAGCCCACTTCCGGGCCCTCAGCCTCAGCTGCCAGTGTCGCTGGAGGGCAGGATGGGGGAGAGGGGGTCAGTGTGGACACCCCTTCCATGTCTGTTCACCCTCCTTCTGGATGGACAAGCTCATGGGCTCCCAAATTTGTAATTTCCCTTTACCAAATTCAACTTTCAATATTCCCTAAACCCTATGATGTAGGCACTATTATTAGCCCCATTTCACAGATGGGGAAAACTGAGGCAAAGAGAGGTGAAGTCCCACAGTGTGCCAGAAGCAGAACCAGGATTCAAACCCAGGCACTCTCACCGCCAGTGGTTCTCAACTTTCCTAATGCCTTGACCCTTAAATACAGTTCCTCATGTTGTGGTGACCCCCAATTTCATTGTTACAAATTGAACATAATTAAAGCATAGTGATTAATCACAAAAACAATTTGTAATTATATATGTGTTTTCCAATGATCTTAGGCAACCCCTGTGAAAGGGTCGTGACCCACAGGTTGACTGGCCTTAACCACTCTAGTAACCTGCCTCTTAAAGAATATATCACAAGTGCCTGGGACAGTCAGTGCTTCATAAATGCCTTACAGCCTTTCCACTGAGGACAAAGTATGTCAATATGTTCTTCTAGTGCCAGAGCAGGGGTTGAGAAGTCAGATCGACTCCAGGGCCAGCAGACAATATTAGAACATTGGAGAAGGTGGGCTTTAAGGGGGCAGATGCTATTCAACCCAAGTGTCTAATTTTTCAAGGCAAGCCAAAAATTGGGATTTGTAGGGCAAAATCTGATTGTTAAGTGCATGCAATGAATTAAAACATTTAAGAGGCATTGTACATGTCAGATAATACAATTAGGAGGGCTACAGCTCTCTCAAGTCTTTAAGCCACTTATGCCCTTGGGGTCTGGCCTGTCTGGTTTCTAGTAGGATGAGGGCTGGGGGGCCATGGAGGTGGAGAGGGAGGGCGGGCCGGGCTCTAGCTCTATGTTCCTGCTGATCTGTTGTGGTCGAGTGAGTCCTGAACCTCTCTAATCTGTTTGGGGTTTTTTGTTAATCCTCACCCAAGGATATTTTTCCCATTGATTTTTTTTTAGAGAGAATGGAAGGGAGGGGGAGAGACACACAGAGAGAAACATGGATGTGAGAGAGACATCGATTGGTTGCTTCCCACACGCACCCCTATGGGGCTGGGGACCGAGCCTGCAACCAAGGTACATACCCTTGACTGGAATCGAACCCATGACCCTTCAATCTGTTCTATCCACTGAGCCAAACAGGACAAGGCACCTATCTAATCTGTAACCTCTGGGGATGGGGATTGGGCAGGAGGATTTGGGGGCAGGTGGAGAGGACACCAGCCTCACCGAGTTCCTCCTCAGTCATGGGCAGGAAGTGGTCCACCAGCTCCTCCGACTTGCCCAACACGACGTCCACCGCGTGGCTCATGGAACGCTTCAGCTCCACGCTCCAGCGCCGGCCCTGCCGTGCCAAGCCCGCCATGCCTGTCATACTGCTGGCCACTGCGTCCTTGGCTGAGGTTACCACCTGGCGGGACGGACCCCGATCCAGGTGCTGTCAGTTTTCAGCTCCCTTCCCTGGCTCCTGGGGCTGGGGGTCAAGGACCCCTGGCTCTTTCCCAGCTCTAGGTCTCAATTCCCCTGTCTACAAATTGGAGGAAAATAAAATCTCTCCCTCACAGAGTGGCCGAAGGGGTTACCAGCACCTACTGGCACATAGTAAGTGCTAGATAAATATGGGTGCCGATTATTTTTTTAAAACACATTTTTATTGATTTTTTTAGAGAGAGGAAAGGAGAGGGAGAGAGAGAAACATCAATGTGAGAGTGGAACATCGATCAGCTGTCCTGCACACCCCGCACAGGGGATGGAGCCTACAACCCAGGCATGTGCCCTGACCAGGAATCGAACCAGCAACCTTTCGGTGCACTGAATGATGCCCAGTCAACGGAGCCTCATCAGCCAGGCTGGGTGCTGAGTGTTCTCATCTGTGTGGTGTTTTTTGCATTGACCAAAGCCTGATTTGGTCCTAGAGTCCAGCTGGCAGAGGGGTTCTGGCTGGGTCTGAGGGAGGCAGCCCTCCTCCCTCACACTTCCACCCCCTGCAGATCCCCATGATCTGTGCCATACCATCTCCGAAGGTTGCTGGAGAAAGGGTAGCTTCTCCTCCAGCTTGTCGAGGCCCCTGCAGGCAAGATCGTTCACTGTAGCCACTGGGGAGAGAGGGAAAGGCAGAGAGTGAGAATCTGGGAGATGATGAACGAGAGGGACACAGGAGGGAATACTAGAGGGAGAAGCAGAGAAAAAAGAAGGGAGAGAGGGAGAGGGACAGATAGGGAGAGATGAAGGGAGGCCTTTGTGAAAGGGGTGACCTGGCTGATTCCCTGAGGGGCTGGAGACCCTGAGGGCGTGGTGGGCCCCCAGGCTGGGCCCTGCCTCCTCTGCTTTCCACACCTCTGCCCTGCCACAGACTCCTGCCAGCACCAAGGTGACTCCACACCCACGCTCAGCGCAGATGCCTCAGGGAGCAGGCTCAAGGTCACTTAAGCCAGCGACAGAAGGAGGGGCCACAAATAAGCTGCTACGGGCAGATGATGACCAGGATGTAAGACATAACATGCCAACAGGTAGAGAGGAGGGCCAGGCAAAGAGGGACTGGGAGATGGCACTGGCACAAGGACTGAGCAAGGATGACACAGGTGGCTGGGGGGGGGGGGGTGCAGTCAGACTAAAGGCACAGGACAGGTAAGACTGAGGAGGGACACCACCCAGGTCAGGGAGTCCACACTTCAGGCCATGCCACGTGGATGAAGCATGAGAGGGTGAAACCATGAGGCAACCACAGGACTGTCTGGCCAGGGGGACTCACGCTGAGGCTGCAGGTGGCTGAGCAGTGGCTGGGCGTGGTCCAGGGCGCTGGTGGTGAGGCTGCACACGCAGTGTTCAGCCAGGCGGCAGGCAGAGCCCAGGAGCGGGTGCCTATCCTTGGCTGCGCTGTAAGCATCAGAGACAGCAGTGCACGTGGCCTTGACCAGGGGCAGGGCCACCACTCGGTGGACCACATTCTGTGGGAAGGGATGCAGTCAGAGGGGCCTCCAGGGAGGTGGAAGGCTCAGCCTCACTTTAGCCCCCTTCCTCCCTAGGGGCCAGACGGGGGTGGGCCAGAGCTCTGGGGGGAAGCATGTGGAGCGCCTGGCTGTGGGCAGTAGAGGAACCCACGTGAAGGTGCTCACAGGCTCCTGTTGTCAGTAGCACACACACAGCGTGACAAGTTCTGAGTCTGGCGGCTTTAAGGGTACATGCCCCTGGGGCAAAACTGTCCGCATTCAGCTCTGGTTAGGCCACCTCTGAGCTGTGTGAGCTTGGGCAAGTGAGTGAACTGCTTTGCGTGGTGCCTCCGTCTCTCATCTGTAAAATGGGTTTCTGGGGCTGTGATGGGAATTCTAGGAGCCAATGTATGTGGAGTGCTTGGAACAGTGACTGATGCAGGGTGGATGCTGTGAGTGCTGCTATTATTGTTGCTGATGAGAGTGCCACGATGGTGGACACAGAAACAGGGAGATAGAGGCGGAGACCCAGAGGTGGGAGGGGGAAGGTTGGGCAGAGGCCAGGTAAGCCAGCTGGGTGTGCTTGAAGAAATGCTCCCCTCCCAGGCCTCACTGTGCCCCTCTGGGAAATGGGTAGGAGGTGCAGAGATGCCAGCCTCCATGGTCCAACATGCCCTGAGAGTGAGGTGCTCAAAGCAAAGACAGAGGTGGGAGGGGTACCCAGCTCTTCAGGGAGGGACTGTCCCCCTCCCTTCCCCATGTGCTGCTCCATGGGAGGTGCAGCCCCTCACCTGCTGGTCCTGCTCCCACAAGCTGGGTGGGTGGGTCTGAGCCGCCTCATCTTCTGACATGCCTGCTGCAAATAGGGTCACCTTGGGGGACAGGACAGAGTGAAGGGGGCCAGCCCACCAAGCTCCCTCCCAAGCCCTGGGTTCTGTCTGTCTGGGCTCTGTGACTCCAGGAAGTCTTGTTCCTTCTTGGGGCCTCAGTTTCCTCATCCAAAAAGTGAGGTAATGATAATACCCTACTTCAGAATGTCATGAGGAGCACAGACAGTGCACAAGACTCTGCACACAGTAGGTGCACACTAGAGAGCCTCTGGCAAAGTGGGGCCCCTGTAGTGATTCAAAGCATGGGCTTAGGGTTTCAATCCTGCCATTACCTGCTGTGTGACTTTGGACAAGTGCCTTCACCTCTCTGGGCTGTTTCCTCTTCTGCAAAGCAGGGGAGGTCCCTGGTGCCCCTACCCTGGACAGAACTGCACGAGCAGCCCCATACAGGGATGCCGGTGGTAACTGTAGAATCCCAATAAACCCAGTCAGATCGACAATCGGGGAAACCGAGGCACACAGGGGTCCATGCTGCGCTCAAGGTCACTCAGCTTAAGCTGACTCAGAGCAGGGAGTTTGACCTCAGACTCCCCGCCTGCAGGTCATCCCTACCCCGTGCCTTCGGAGCTGTGGTCCCCGCCCAACAGGGTCCTGAGCTTCAGCCAACTGGGCCAAGGGTCTCAGCCACCTGCTCCAGCCCGTCACCCCCTCCACTCCCCACGCCGCTGAGCCCTCGCCTGCCCACCCAGTTCGGGCCCCCGGGCCTGCTGGGTGCTCCTGGACGCCACCCGGGTGACACTCACCTGGGCGCGCGCAGCCTCAGCCCCCAGGTGCTGCCGCCGACCCCAGACTCTGGCTCCAGTCTCCGCCCTCTGCCGGCCCCGCCCGCCTTATAGTGGCTCTGGAGGCGGAGCCTCTTGGGATTGACCAATAGGGAAAGGCTGCCCAGGGGCGTGTCAGGGGTGGGGCTTCAGGACCCCACGCTCTTGAGCCCTTGTGCTCCCGAGTACTGTGCGGTTGCCAAAGCAGCTTGGGGATGGTGGATGCCCCAAAATTGAGCTACTTCCGTTGGCCGAGTTTGGCCACTTGTCACCCTCGCTGCCTTGGGGGCGGGGGGGCGACCACAACTCCCACCTCCTTCTCCAGTGACCTTGGGCAAGTCCTTCATGTCTTTCTATTTTTAAAAAATGTTTATTTAGGAGAGGGAGAGGGAGAAGGGGAGAGAGAGAGAGAGAGAGAAGAGAAGAGAAGAGAAGAGAAGAGAAGAGAAGAGAAGAGAAGAGAAGAGAAGAGAAGAGAAGAGAAGAGAAGAGAGAAACGTTGATTTGTTGTTCCACCATCTATGCCTTCATTGCTTGATTCTTGTATGTGCCCTGACTACGGAACCTGCAACCTTGGCATATCAGGACAATGCTCTAACCAACTGAGTTATTGGCCAGGGCTCTTTCCATTTTTTTTTTTTTAATCTACCACTTAACCAGGAGCCAAACTGGCCCATTCTCTGAGATCCCCATTTTACAGATGAGCAAATTGAGGTTCAGAACACTTAAACCACTTGCCCTGGGTCCCACAGTGACTGGCGGATTTGATTTAAATTCAATCAAATCAAGCTCCAGACCCTGGCTTTTTCATCTTCACGCCTGGAACGATCACCAATGTGGTCATGATACTCCTTCCAGGGGGCTGAAAAAACCGAGCATGGCCCAAACACCCCTGGCCCCCCAAATCTGACCCTGACCCCACTATGCCCAGCATTGTCAGCAGGTGGCTCTAGGTCCTGAGTTCTGAGAGCACAGCCCTGGCTTCTGCCCATGCTAGTCCTGGGTGGCTGCGCCCTGGGCTATCACTGGCCAACATGACGAATTGTTTGGAGACCTGAAGCAATCTGGTTTAATTTAAACCTTCCCCAGGGCACAGGCTCTGGCAGGAATCCACCAGTAAAATGACACCCCGGCCAATAGTCAGAGTTTTATTTCCAGTTAAGCCCCAGGATAGGAGAGAGGAGGAGGAGGAGCCACGGGTCTTCAGATTTCAAGTCCAGCACCCCACACCCTGTCATGCCTATTTCCTCCTTCATCCCGGAGAAGTAGGAAGTTGACTTGGGAGATGCAGGAACACAGTAAATGCCAATTTGTCCAATTCCGTTTGACATTTATTTTTATTTTTAAAAATATTTTACATTTTATTTTATTTTTATTGATTTCAGAGAGGAAGGGAGAGAAAGAAACATCAATGATGAGAGAGAATCATTGGCTGCCTCCTGCACGCCCACTACTGGGGATCGAGCCCGAAACTCGCATGTGCCCTTGACCAGAATTGAACCTGGTACCCTTCAGTCCCTAGGCTGACACTCTATCCACTGAGCCAAACCAGCTAGGGCTGACAATTATTTATTAACCCCCTCGGGTCTGACACCTAACTGAGTGAGACACCTCAGCCCCAGACCCTGCACTCAGAGAGCCCCCCCAAAGTGGGGGAGCCAGAGTCAGAGACAGCCCCAGTGTGGCCAGGGTTGTGCTGAGGGAGCTGGGAGACCAAGAGATGTGGGAAATGGGAAGGCATTCCTGGAAGAGGAATGAGCAAAGCTTGAGCAAAAGCAAGGAGGCCTGTGAGCCTAAGGGGTGTTTTGGGAAGCAGGGGCAAAATGGGTCTAGCAACTGTGGAAAGCCTGCCTCACCCTGAAAAGGGAATTAATTGCCTAATGGGGTGCAGTGTTCTGCCAGGCCGTTCCTATCCATCTCCACCCCAGCCTTAAGCTTCAAATGAGACATGGCCGCAGCCAGGAGTGTCTGGCCATGCATGGCTTTAGGCTCAACGCAGTATGTGTTATTCCGGGAGAACATCTTGTCTTTATTGCACACAAGCCACTCATAGAAGTCGTCCAAGTTCTGGTCGCAATTCCAGGGGTTACCAGAGATGTCAAAGCCATCCTTCATGTCCCGGCCTGCCCCGGGCTGCCCCACAGATGCCCAGAGCCCCTTGGGCACGCTGCTCAGTGAGTTGTTGGACAGGTCCAGCATGTCCAGCTGCTTCAGACCTTGGAAGGCGCTGGCCGCCACCGTGGCCAGACGGTTGTCACTCAGGAAAAGGTAGCTCAGGTTTGGCTGGGGCTCCAGCAGGCCCTCTTCGAGGGCTTGCAATCTGTTGCCCTCCAGGTGCAGCCGTTCCAACTTCAGGGGGCCCCTCAGAAGGTCAGAGGGCAAAGACTCCAGCTGGTTATTGCTAAGATCAAGGATGCGCAGGTCGGTGAAGTTGGCCAGCAGCCCGGAGGGTAGTGTCCGGAGGTGGTTTCCGGACAGGTCCAGATGCCTCAGGGCTTTCAGGCCCTGCAGCCACGAGGTTTCCAAGACTTCCAGCTGGTTTTGATTCAGCACTAGGGTGTGGAGGGTGGCTGAGCCCTGGAAGAGGCCGGGGGGCAGCTGGGTCAGGGCGTTGCGGGTTAGATCGAGCACCTTCAGCTGAGGCACAGGCAACAGAAACTTGGCTGACAGCTTCTCCAGCCCATTGCTGGAAAGGTGCAGTTCCTGGAGGTTAGGGATGCCCAGGAGGGTCTCGGGTGGTAGCTGGGTGAGGTTGAAGAACTCCACAGACAGGAAGATGGTGTCGGCTGGGAGCTGCTGGGGGAATTTGGCAGGTGGGTAGCAGTTGATGGAGCTGCCATTGCTTGACTGGAACACCTGGCAGGCTTCAGGGTTTGGGGTGGCCCCGTGGACTGAGGGGGCCACAATTAGTAGCAGCAGGAACAGGGCTCTAGAAAGGTGGGGATCCAGGACCCCTGGGCTGGAGGCAATGACAGAAGGTGCTTAATGAGCCAAAATAAAAATATACCCAACTCAGGGAAAATACACCCAGAAAATGTCCACTTCTTCCTATCCACTTTTGCTCCCCAGAACCATGCCTCCTCATTGCTCCTCTGGACTAGTGCACTCACCTCCTCCTCCTCTTCATGTTTTGAAGGCAGAGCCAGTGAACTCCTACCCATCCTGCAAAGCCCCCAACTCCAATGCCCCTTTTTTCACGAGACTTTCTTGAATTTCCCAAGCAGAACTCATGGTTTCCCCCTCTGTGCTCCTACTCTTTCTTTCCAACCCTGACTAAACAAGGTCAGGTGATCTGTGTCCAGTTCCATCTTGCTTCAAGCACCCAGGCACAAGCCAGGGCTCCGGGTGCAAATGGGACTTTGAACATGAAAAATGCCCAAAGCAAAATGAATAAATAAATAAATAAATAAATAAATAAGTGCCCAAAGCAGGCTCGGGGGCAGGCATTTGGCCTTGATATTGGATGGTTTGCAGTTGGCACTGTAACCCTTGAAGGGCTGGGGCTTCTGCTGCTCCCGGTCCCCCTCCAGCAGGCTTCTGAGGCTGGGGGTGGGTTCTCACTCCCTGCCTGGGATGTCTGCAGGTGAGTGTGTGTAAGGGAGCAAACCTGTCCTAGTTAGAGCCTGAGTGTTGGTCTGTTCCAGCCAGGAGGCCTACGCCTGGCCCTGTGATTTCAGTGGGTCAGAACGGACTGTCCATGCACTGCCTGGTGTCCAAGCCTGCCCAGGAACAGCAAGGTGGGGACCTACCTCTGGTTTCCCTCTGGGCTCCAAGAGGACATGGTGGCCTCTCTCTTTTCCATCCAGATTCCTTTGGTCTGCTGAGGTGGCCTTATACCTACCTGGGCTGGGGGCAGGGGCACCAACCATAGGGAAGTCCCCACCCACCCACATCCTGTTCCCAATAGGGCCTGAACTTGAGCCAGGCACAGGAAAGGGAGGAGTCAAGATTGCAAAATTGTTTCCTGGTGGGGGAGGACAGCAGAGGGGCTGCCCACCCCTTCTTGTCCCTGTTTTTGTCCAGTTTTCCTTCCCCTGATTCCTGCTATTGGAAAGTGGGCACCCAGAGTCTCTGGGAGTGAGTCCCCACTCCCCCCACCCCCCAACCCAGGAATCAAGGGTCAAGCTCGCAAGGTGCCAGTCCTGGAGGATGGGGACAAGGGGTACTATTTGCGACACACTTGAGCAATCAGGAAGTGCAGTGATGAGAACAAAAAACACTTGTCGTGAGTTTATGACATGTTGTTGGATATATTTTTATTGAAATAATTTTTTAAAAATAGAATATAAAAGTGAGGGATGCCAGAAGTCTTTGAACAATGAGCTAGGAGGGACTAAACCTATTTCTGAATCCCAGCTGTGCCAGGACTGCTATGCTTTGTGACTGTGGCAAGTGGCTTAACTTTTCTTGGCCTCTGTTTCCCCATCTGTGAAGTTGAATTCAATCTCCAAAGCTCCCATCTGCTCTTTTTTAAAAAAATTGAATTTATTGGGGTGACATTGGTTAATAAAATTATATAGATTTCAGGTATTGCTCTTTCTTCATCCTAAGCTGATACACCATTCGTTTTGGGTTGTTTGTTTACTAATGAATACATTAGGAGGCTATACATTTCCCTTTGAGAATGGCTTTGGCTGCATCTCATGGGTTTTGCTATTAAGTGCTTTCATTCTGGTTGAGTTCTAAAAATTCAGGTGTGCGTTGTTATCTTATCTGTTATGCCTGGCGATGGCCTCTTCTCCCTGCCCCATCTCTGAAGGGTTTATCCCTCCTCAGCTGTGATGATGACTGAGTTCTGTCTTAGAGACAGAACATACAGGCTCAGAGATAAACATACAGGTTGACAGTGTCAGGCACAGATGAAGAATGAAAGATAGCCCTAGCCAGTTTGGCTCGGTGGATAGAGCGTCAGCCTGCGGACTGAAAGGTCCCAGGTTCGATTCCGGTCAAGGGCATGTACCTTGGTTGTGGGCACATCCCCAGTGGGGGGTGTGCAGGAGGCAGCTGATTTGATGTTTCTCTCTCATCGATGTTTCTAACTCTCTATCCCTCTCCCTTCCTCTCTGTAAAAAATCAATAAAATATA